TGGTGGTACTCCTTTTGGTTTGGTGCACGATTTTTCTTTTGTTTGTTTTGTTTCTCTTCATTTTAAGACACTACCCTGAATCTCACTCCTCCTTGAGTTGAGCCAGAACTGACTTTTACTGTGTGAGTGGTTTTAAGCTAGTATTTTTAAATTGAAATCAGGATGTAATAAATGGAAGTCATGGAATTGTGAAATCGTCTCAAGCCTCATCTGTAAGCGGGTCTGCGTGCCTTACGGTATTTTTAAAGTGGAGTTATCAATCTTATTTTTCTAAAACAGTGTTTTGAATTTAGGTTGGTAATTATTATCACACAGCACCCGCCACATATAGCTCAGATCACAATTATTGGCAAACATCCAACTATAAAAATTAAGTGATGACGCCATCTAGCGACTTTTAGGACAGCCAATAGGGACTTTTCTTGCTCAGGAGTTGGCAACACTGGGAAGCTCAGCTTGGAGACACACACAGAGGAGAAGATGATCCCAAATGGTGGTTCTAGTCCCAACTGGTTGTTTTTGCTCCCCTGCCTGGCTGCCTCAGGACACGGCAGGATTTCTCAAACATGCATGAATGAGTCAAAGCAAGACTTTGGGCATGTTTTTGTTGAGATGATAACATTATAACATGATACAAAACTCAAAAAAGTAGATTTTTTTAATATAGCCCCTTTAAATAAATACAATACTTTGCCTCTCGCACAGTGACTGCTGGAGATAGGCACCAGCTCCACATGACCCGGAAAGGAAAAAGTGGGTAAAAAAAATTGTATCGATGGACAAAACTGGCCTGACAATTTTTATTTCACAAGTGTACTCTATTAGAATAAATCATCAGTGCTGGGGCAGCTGTTAAAGTGGCAGCCGTCTTCTTTTTGTGCACAAACAGTGGGTATGAAGTGACCCAAGCTGCAGAGGTACAAACTGACCTGAAGCCTTCATTAGATATTCTAATTATAGATATTCTTACCTTCTTGTTCATCTTTACGCATTTCCTCAGCSTCCTCACTCCCACTGTAATATTTACTCTTGAAGATATTTTTGACAAAAAGCTGAAAAGGAAACACTAAGCAGTAATGTGGATAATATTCACAGGTTATCATCAATCACTGGTGTCAGAGTAAAAGAAGTTCAGTAAGGAGCAAACCAATGCTCAGCTTTTGCAAACGTACCAATAATATTAAAGTAAGAATAAAACTGCTGAGAGTGAAGCACGGTTTTACCTCCTTTATCTGTGGATTTACCACAGAGGAACACGGCTGTGAAAAGAGTTTGTGAGCACCTCCGCTCTCCTTCCACTGCATGAGCTGCACAGTCGGTGGAGCCATGTCCAAAGGAGCAACCAGGTCCGAGCTGTCACAAATCTGCTCCCTGATGAAGTCATTGCTCAGCTCTTTAGTCTGGTCCACCACCAACTTGCGTTTTCTCTTTCCAATCTTCTTTCCTGAGTTTGCTAGACATAAACACACAACAGAGGACCATAGAAAAACAGTCTTATCTGTATGAAGGTATGCGTCAGACCAGACTCTTCTGGATCTCCTTGTAAAACAATGTCAAGTTTTCTAAACAGACAGGGGGCATTAGTGGATCCCAGTTTGAGTTGCATACGAGTGACGGCCACAGGTTCCAGGGCGAAGGCTGCTGCCTCATTGGTGAGCAGGGTGGTCTCATTTAATGTGGGGGCCTCTGCCTCTATCGGCTCTTCCACTTCAGCATCTAGGAAAACAAACACAATGAAGGAAAAGCCTCACCAAAGGACCAATTTAAATGAATGTGAAAAATATCATCACCTATTTGATGCTGCTGATCATTCACTGAGAAGCTCTGTTGATTTTCATTCTGAAGCTCTTCCAGGTTGAAGGGTGAAGGCTCAGCACCGTCACTGAAGTTTGTTAGAAAGTCTGTAAAGTCATGAGAAATCAAAAGGCAGTAACTCATAAAGAAGTATTAACAAAACAGGATAAAGAGTTCACAGAGAACAGACTTTGAGTTTGTATTTAACGATTAGAATTTTAAACGTTTAGATTTACTTTATCCACCAACGAGGAAATTGTCAAATATGTCAGAAATTATTTATTTTTGCGTTCAAAATCAGAAGACGTAAAGGAGATCCCCGTCCTGAAGCAAAGACCAGGATGAGTTGTAAGTTATTATCCCTGAGATGTTATATAATCAGAGACAAAACCTAACTTATAAAGTTAGATACTTTACAATTTACACACATGGACAAAACAGTTGGTACCCCTCGTTTAGTGAAAGAAAAACCCACAATGGTCTCAGAAATAACATGAATCTGACAAAAGTAATAATAAAAAAATTTCTATGAAAATAAACAAATGAAAGTCAGACATTTCTTTTGAGCCATGCTTCAACTGAATAAAAAAATAAAACTCATAAAACAGACCTGGATATAAGGTACCCCTGAAAATAATGTGGCCAAAGACTCATGTTAAATGAAGGTGTGTCCACTAATAATCATCACAGGTATGTAYGATCTTGTAATCAGTCAGGGGGCCTGCATATTGATACTCACTGTGCTCATGAGGAGTGGGCCAAAATACCTGCTAAGAGGTGCAGAAGTCTCATTGACAATTACAGAAATCCTTTGATTTCAGTGACTGACTCAAAATATCTCATTAATTTTAATTATCTAACTTCCCTCTGGGATCARTAAAGTATTTTTGAACTGAAAAKGTTGTGCAACAAAATATTAAATTAAGGGAACCATCATTTCKGTCCAGACCTGTTTCATGAGTTTTATTTTTTATTATTCTGTTGAAGCATGACTGAAAAGCAATGTCTGACTTTCATTTGTTCATTTTCATAGAATTTTTATTTATTATTATTTTTGTAAGATTCAAGTTATTTCTGAGATCATTGTGGGTTTTCTTTCATTAAACGAGAAGTACCAACTATTTTGTCCCTGTCTGTTTGTAACTTCAATAATSAGCTCCCTTCTGACTCACAAAAACAGTGAAGTTTAACTCCACTTAACAACTTTATCTTTACAAGTGATTAATAACTAGTTTAACTGGAAAATATGAAAGGGTTTTGTTTTACTTCTGAACTACACAACATGACAGCTGTTATGAAGAAAGCTAAGTCACATTWGGATTTAGCAGATGTTTTTATGCTGCCCTTCCTGACTCACCTACTGACCTGAGCTACCACAGCCCAATGTGTGCAGCAGAACTGCAAATACCTTGCTCAAGGGCCCTGAGTGGGGCAAATGAAGGTCGAGGCACCTTTCCCACACAAATTTTGTTTTAACAGTCAGGGAATTTGACTTCTCGATCACAGCAGTGCATTRTAAAGTCAGGGAGTTATTTAATGACAARGCTCTGCTTGTGTTGTAYAATTCAATAATTGTTCCACATTTAAGTTACTGTATTGAAGTCTGGGGTAAAGCTTGCAAAACTATTACAAATCTAATTTTTGTTTTACAGAAAAGAGCTGTAAGAATTATTGTGAGAAAAGATTACAACCATCCATCAAATACATTATTTTGTAAACTGAAAATTTTGAAATTCTATGATCTAGTTGACTATACTATTTTACTGTTTGGCTCACAGAAAAACATATTACCTTCCAACATTCAGTCAAATTTTGTTAAGAGAGACAGTTGTTATAATCTTAAGGGTATAGAAATGTTTGTGAAGCCATATTTTTGTACTTGCTTGAGAGAAAGATGTATTTTAATTTGGGGTATAGGATGATGGAATGGTCTGGAGGATGATCTTAAAAATGTCAGATCTATGTTTTTATTTAAAGAGACAGATAAAAGCTAGTTTGTTAAAAGTGTATGGGAAACTAAAATATGAAGCTATATGAATTGTTGTTTGAGTTTATGTTTTTATTTGTATTGTTTTGTAAATTATGTTTTGTTTGAATATATACTGGGGATAAAAGGGGCAGACATTAAGATTTATTCTTCTTCTGCTACCTTTCATTTTATTTTGATTTTTGTATTTTCTTTGTTTTTTATTGTATATAGTTATTTTTTAATGAAATGAATAAATTTTTTGAATTGAATTGAATTGACAGGCTCACCTCTGTCGGCACCACCACTCCCTTTGACATGAAAAATTAGAAATGCTAATACTGTTTTGTAGATAGCTCTTTGAATTACCCCACTTTCTCACTCGACTGAAAGCTAAGCTAGTCTGAACAGTTATATATACAGTATATAGCTGGATCTTTTTCTGAAGTAGCAGGACAAAATGATTCCCATCAATTCACTTTACCTAGAAGATCCAATCCATTCTCTTCATCCCCAAATGCATCTTCCTGTTTGGAAAAGTCGTCAAAGCTTTGGTCCAACAAAGCATTTGATTGGCTCTGTGACTCAACTCCTATGTATCAGAAAAAACAGGAGGCTTTGTCAAATACCAGCTGCTAAAAAAAGGAAATACTGATTCTGACAAACAAGAACTTACCGTATTATTTTTTTATTTTATCAATATTTGGGGAGAAAAGAAGTAAAACTGATTCTGTGCTGTTTACATTAAAACAACTGTTTGTTTCTCACCAAAGTTTGGGAAGCTCAGGAAGTTGTTCCCAAAATTCTCCTTCAGAGTGATGTCCTCCGATCGACACTGGTTCAGTGAAAAGTGATCCTCAACGTCGATGTTGCTGGTGGAGACGACACAGTGATGAAAAAACACACACTCTAAAATTAGGATTTTGAATATGAGTATTTGGAAGAAGCAATAATGCTGATTTTCCATCAATAACATTTTCTGTGAAATGACATGATTCCAAGAACACGGGAAAATAAAACAAAACAGATTCATTTTGTGCTGGAGAGGAGGAGAAAATTGCACCTGAGGTCTGGAAACTGAGCATCAAATGAAGTAAAATCTTCAACCAAAGTAATGGCTTTTACTGTGGCTTCAAGGCCCTCCACAGGCATGTCTGTTTGACCTGGGTGTGGAGAAGAAACATGAATGAAATCCCAGATTTACTCCATTTAGGATGAAAAATACTGAGTTATTAAAACAAGAAGAAATATCAGTGGGCCTTTCTTCCCTCCTGTTTCAGTAAAAATAAAGTCAAGTTGATATTTTTGATCGTTTTGGAAAAAGAATAAACACAAAGAGTTTAAATATGTTACAATGTCACCCTCTAGAGGTGGTACAAAATAACTGTTTTGAAAGATATTTTCAGTATCTGCACAGAGCATTTGAGTCATTATTGACTGAGCTCCATCACCAAATTTAACAGATGAAACTTTCTTAAAGCTGAACCAATCCAAATAAATCAATCTGAACAAAAATTATCACTCAAATACAGATTTTGGTTTTTGATGTAATGAGTACATTTGACATATTAAAGACCCAGTTTCTGCTATGTAATTTTTTATGTTTAAACTATGCCTAAATTAGTTTTTAAGTAAGGATGTCGCTGCCATTTCCTTCCTAACCTGCTGTGACCAGATTGTGCAAAGCTACACTTAGTGTTCGCTTGTTATTTGCTCCTGCTTCGTACAAATTTCAACAAATCATAATGATGTCAGGTAGGTCCAGCACTCGTTCAAATTTCAATTTCTGTCAATGCATTTTGAAGAACCAGTTAATTAAAAATAGGCTCAAATTCTAGCGACCACTTAAAGAGGTAAGCTTAAAAGAACTTTATTTTATCCTTTTTGTTCCCAATTGATTAGGATCTGAAAAACAAAAGTTAGCAAAGGGTGTTGACGCTCGTCTTTTGCACGCACTCATTGGTTGAAGGACTTTGTTTACAAAACAAATGTCCACATGGATCTTAAACAGTATTTATTTCCTGACCTTCCAAGACACATCAAGTTGAGTTAAGGTTGTAGTTTGGTGACACGAGTCTTGTAACATTATTTTATAATTTTTCTGCTGCTTTTACATTGGATTTTTATGTTTTTAGGATTCGAGATGATTCCTACAAAATAAAACACGTATCTTTCCCTAAACTTTCATGTGAAGATCTTCAACTTTAAAGAACTTGAGAGCAAAAACAAATAACAACAAACCAAAATGGTCAAAGGTTCAGCTGGTTCAGCTATGACTTGCAGCAGAAATCAGGAGCTTGATTACATCTAAATAAACATCCATAATGTCCTTAATACTTGAGACAACCACATGATTTTTGTGTTATTTTGAAGTTTTTCTTGATATTGGTGTGAGCTAAGTTGTTTTTTTTTAGCCACATCCCTATATTAAAACAGGTTTTGGGCTCAATTTCTCAACACAGTTGTCAAAGTTAACCACAAGATTTTCAAGCTTTTTAATCTAAACATATTAATATTTGACAGAACTAATA